ATTTTTTTCCATCATTCTAAATAAGCACTAAAATTCGTTTTTTATTTATAGCTATCTAGAAACACACCTACAAAATAATACAAAAACATACAAGACATACATACAAAGTTATACAAACATGTATACAAAGTCGAACAAACATACAGAAGCACATACAAACGCATACAATGTGAAACAAACATGTAAATGGGTGTTCGTGATACAAGAATGAGGAGTGTACGTGAGTTTTACCATCTAAATGGGATGATGTGTGTGTGTGTGTATGTATGTATGTATGTATCTATGTATGTGTGTATGTATGTATGTATGTATGTATGTATGTATGTATGTATGTATGTATGTATGTATGTATGTATGTATGTATGTATGTATGTATGTATGTATGTATGTATGTATGTATGTATGTATGTATGTATGTATGTATGTATGTATGTATGTATCTATGTATCTATGTATGTATGTATGTATGTATGTATGTATGTATGTATGTATCTATGTATCTATGTATGTATGTATGTATGTATGTATGTATGTATGTATGTATGTATGTATGTATGTATGTATCTATGTATGTATCTATGTATTATGTATGTATGTATTATTATTATTCATTGCATTTATACAGAGTTCGTTTGAAAAAAATTGTCACCGGCGCTTCAACATTATAAATTTTAATAAGGGCTGAACAGATGGGTTCTCAGCTGCCACTTAAACTGACTTAGAGTAAAATCAGCATTTTGCAAAGTGTTTGGAAGGCTATTCCACAGCCTTCAAGATCCAATTTTGAGGTTTTTCTTTGGCTGACACAAAAAATTTGAATCACCAATGAGTTATATAGAGTTATATAGAGTTATATAGATGGTGGTGTAGGAAGAATCAGCTCGTTGGCAGTTCGACTGACACTCTGCAGTTCGGATGACATCTTGTGTGCCGACCAGATGATGGTAGTTGGTGAAATGAAGTACAGTAACGACCATTTTCGAAGTAAGGTTTAGTTTCATTTTTTTATTTTTCTCATTCATTCATTCGTTCATTTTATCACTCAATCTTTTAAATTATTCTTACATTAAAAAAGAATAATTTACAATTAACAATTAAAAAACATTTTAATTAAAAATTAAATTATTATAAATATAAAAAAATTAAAAAATAAAAAAAGAAAATTTTAAAAATAGGATGGGTAAATGACGTCATGTTAAAAGTAGTTATTTAAATGCCTGTTAGTGAATTAGCCGGTATATAGGTTATATTCAATTCATATCAAATAAATTTGATCAAATATCATACGCTAACAAAACTAAACAAAGAAATAGATAGATAGATATACGTAGTTATAATACATTTATAATGTTGTATTTACACATTCAAATTGTACAATTATGTTATGGTGTAGTCTCAAATTATTTTGAATTCTTGCAGAAAAATTTAAACTTTTTAATATATACTAGCTACTTTTATCAACAATTTTTAAAAAATTTTCAATTTGATTTCATCGCGATATTGATGATAATGAGACAACATGAAAATCAGATCAGGCATTCTGCCTCGCTTGAAGCAGTCTGTCTGATCTCATTTATTTATTTTTATTTATTTTATTATATAGAGTTATATAGAGTTTGCATGTCTGTGGTTTGTATGTTGTATTTTATATTTTAGGTGGGTTCTTTAGCGGTTGCACATACAAACATCATGTTTGTTTGTGTGGTAGTATTTTATGTTCTGTTTTACTCTTTTTTCTCTTTCTTCATGAGTCTTGAGTTAAGTTAATGAAGCATAGGTAGGTGAGGTAAAAATTAATTTATTATATAGGTAGGCTAGGGCATAAGGTAATTTAGTTACATAGGTAGGTTAGGGACTTCTATTCTTTTACTCTACTTGGGGGTGTGTTTTTTGTTTTGTTTTGTTTCACACCATACATATAACAGGTACGCGGTGGTTCCTGGTTTTAGTGGGATTTTTATTGATTGAATGTGGTAGTATGCATGGTTATATAGAGTTTTATAGAGTTTTATAGAGTTTTATAGAGCATAAATCCTATATAGATACCTTTCTTTGAGGTTCTTTTCTTTGCCGACCGGTCGGCTTCTTTGCGTTTCTCTATTTTCATTTATTAAATTAATTAAATAAATAAGATTTTTCATTCATTTATGTTCATTCATTTAGGTTCATTCAGGTTCATTCATTCAGGTTGAAGTTTTCAGAGGAGTTCATCGTGGAAGATCGGAATGGTTGTGATGTCACGCTACGTTCTCGGTTGTTATGCCTATTGCTTTTTTCCAATGGCTTGGTTTCTATTTTAAAAAATTATTTTTTTTTTTCAGATTTGGTGTTTTTCAGTATCTCCTCAAATTCACGATGCCTGTCAGATGATGGTCGGAGCAATGGAGGCTCGACCGTAGTGAAGAAGTTTCTGGAGAGTACACGCTCGCACATTTACACACACTCATACACACACACACAGGTCAATACAACACACACATACACAACATCCATTTTTCGG